TGTTATATATATGGATGACTGTTTTTAATTCATTTACTTGCAAATCAAAAATTTATAAATGTTGGTATTTTCTTAAAATGTTTTAAAAAAAATCATAATCAAAAACTGAATAAGAAAATATAAATCAAAATAATTTTTGAAAACAATTTTCAAAATTATCTTTATTTTATTGGAAATGCAAAAAAAAATATTTTTTTTTTGAGAAAATAAGTGGGGCATGGCCCTCAGTGCCCCTGCTTTATGCCCCCTCTAATCATTTGGTCTGAAAACAATTTTAACACTCATTCATCAGGACTACACATGAATGCTGAAATGTTTCATGGGGCCCATGATCCAGCTCCCCCCCTCCTGAATGGTCATCTTTCTGGATCTTTAATGAGCTAGGGGCTCATTGAAGATCCAGAAAGATGACCATTTTACATAATTTTCCAGGAATTCTTATTGTACTAAGTACTCTCAACTGTAAACAAATTGGCAAAATCTGAGATATAGGGCGGCATTTTTAAAAGTTTCTGGTTTATTTGACATTGAATTACCTTACCCCCAAGCCAAGTATGTGACTATAGCAGTCTTTGCGAATCAAAGAATGGTACCCATCAATACTGATATTTGAAGAAGGAATAGCGGAATTTAAATTAGTCTCACTAAAAGAGAGCAAGTCTGGTGAATTTCGCAAGAGGATTTAACAGATTCAACTGATAGAATTGAACCTGTTATTTCAAAAAGGGCACAAGTTTATTTATTAAAACTTTTTAAAATTAACAAAAACATGATTTTTATTAAAATGTCTGCGCTGCTAAAGAAATAAACCTAGAAGTAGATAAATAAAGTACATATATAATTTATGTAGCTTTTATTTTTAATAAAAAAACAAACAAAAATTATACAGAAATTATTGATTTAAATTTATAAACTAGCTGTTAAAGTTTTGGACTTGTGTCCTTTTTGAAATGACAGATTCAATTGATAGGTTGATGGACAACTGATAGAACTGATAAATTGCTTTGAAGGCCATGAATATTTTTAAAAGATTTATTAAAACAGTTAGTTAATGGGGATGTTTTTTTGTGTTTAATATTTTGAGTTACTTTTAACATGATTTAAGTTTAAAGAGAATTTGTCTCATTCATAGATGCAGAGTACAGTCTCCTAAGCAATGACCTACGCAGTTGTCTCAGTTCTGTTAATTACCCTAAGTTGTAACATTGGCCTCCTTATGTGGCCTCGACAATGCGCACCAAAAGCATTAACAGGGACACTATCCATGCGCCACTTGGCACTGTTACTAATACATGATATTTTACAGCTGTTGATGGAATCAGCCTCTCTGAGTGTTACCACAGAGTTTGGGAAACCTTACTACCAGACAGTCTCAGAACTATTAAACTGAGTTTTTAGAGCTGTACCCTCATTAGGAGACAACAGGAAGAGTTACATAACCACTATCAAGGAGGCACAAGCAAAAACCTATTCAAGTTAAGAAGATCTAGCATTCATTAAGATTTTGTCAAGAAGATCTATAATTCATCAACCTAGTCAGGAAACAATGTAACACAGGTTTACATCTACGCCAGCCTAATAGATGAAGATGGGTTTTGAAGCTGGTTAGCAAATTTATTTTGCTTATCTCTTTAGTCTTTACTGTCACTGTCTCAAACCTTTACTCAACCAAGAGCCCTAAGGCAGGAGATTTTTAAGTCAGATATTTTTTCTTCTAGCATTCGCCTAAAAAGGCACCCCCTTCTAGGCAGCAGGGGATGGGGTAGGTAGTATTGGCTAACATGGTATGAGTAGCAAGGTGATTATGATGTTCCTGAACTTGACCTGACCTGGAGTAATTAAAGGAGCTTTATTCTGCAAACAGTACCTCAAAACATTAGGTATAATATTTTGGACTCTAACAAATACTATAGAATAAGGTAAGCGTAGGTTTATAGTTAGAGTAACTAGTTAGTTAATGAGCTCACTGCATCAAAACAGATTTTAAAATTTAAACAGAACACAAACAACATAAAATAAATTACAGGTGAGTAAACACTGTGCCAGAGTTTCAGACTGAATCCAAACATACATATAAACATAAAGAAACAGAATATATGCATACATATAGCTACAGGTAAATGAATACAGGCCACAGGTTCGAATAGAACACAAACTCACATAAAGTATTTATGGGTTAGTCAACACCATGCCAGACAGAATACAAACGTATTTGTGTTCACAAACATTCAGTTCAGACAGAATACAAACGTATTTGTGTTCACAAACATTCAGTTCAGACAGAACACAAACATAGGGATAAGTCAACACTGTGCCAGAGGTTTAGGCAGAACACAAGCATACATATAAAGTAGACTACAGGTGAGGTGTGGGGAGTCGTAAGAAATGCTATGATTGGGGGATTCTGATGATGAAGAAGAATGAAATGATAGTTTTAGAGAAATCAAATTGTGATCAAAAGCGCCTAAAGGTAAATGTGGAGAAACTGAGCACTGACTTGAAACAGAAATAAGACACAAGTATAGTTAAGAAGGTAAATGGTTCGGATGGTCTGGAAAGCGACTTGGAAAGTTGACTACTTGTGTTAAAGATTGAGAAAGGAAAAATGTTGTGGTCTTAACACTTGCAAAGTCACTGACATTAGAAAAAAGTCATTCAGTGTAATGAGCATTTAAGTCACCATTAACAAATGTAATGTCGTGATAAAGTGATAAAGAGAAAGGGCTTGGTCAATTTGATCAGAAATAAGTACAGTCTTGAGAGAAGTAGAGTGATTTAAAACAAAAAGGTGATAGAGTGAAGTGGTGCTAAACAAAAGTACATAAAAAATAGTTTGTAGATTCAAAGCTAGTTTTCTGACTAATGGGGGAATTCATATGAATTTAAATGCCCAGGCCAAGCATATGACTATTGAAGTCTTTACAAATTAAAGGAAGATAACCATTAATACTAAGATCACGAGATGAGTCAGCTAAACTCAAATTGATCTCACAAAGAGCAAGTAGGTCAGTTAAACTTTGCAAGAGATAAAACTCAACAGAAGAAAAGACCAAAAACATTTGAGAGTTACCATAGAGTTCGGGAAACCTGACAACCTGCCGGTCTCACCATAAAACTGAGTTAGAGGTGTACCCTCGTTAGGAGATAATAGAATGAGTTGCCTAGTCATTAAAACAGAAAATACAAGCAAACCCATGCTATGAGTCAAGACGATCCAGCATTCATCATCCTAAACTGGAAGTAGTGTATTATAAGTACATCTACGCCAGGCTAATAGATAAAGAAAGGGTGCGATAATAGGTAAAGAAAGGCTGGTCAACAAATAGAATCTGTTTACTTCTTATTTATTTGCCTAGAAGGTCTTATACAAGACAGTAGCTGGATGCATTTAATGTCTGCCTAAGATGAGTATTTTTATTAAGATACTATCTCTAGCCTTTTCTAAACCAAGAGCCTCTAGACAGGGAGTGTTTTACTCAAGATAAGTATATTTATTAATACATCATCTACTTTACTCAACCAAAAGTTGGCATCTTCTAGCCTGCCTAAAAAAGCATATCTTAAAAGGCAGCAGGACATGAAACAGATTGCTTATATTTTACATGTTTTAATTAAAAATGGCTTATATTTTACATGTTTTAATTAAAAATATATATACTGTATATACTTATATACTGGCTTATATTTTACATGTTTTAATTAAAAATATATATACTGTATATACTTATATACTGGCTTATATTTTACATGTTTTAATTAAAAATATGTATACTGTATATACTTATATACTGGCTTATATTTTACATGTTTTAATTAAAAATGGATATTTTTGGCCACATTTAATATAAAATAATTTTATTTTAATTGCTGGTTTTTTTTTAAAAGATTTTGTAGAGAAAGGTCTCTATAAATATGCAAAAATTAATTTGAATGAATTTAATAAGCTTGAATGAATTTAATAAGCTTGAATGAATTTAATAAGCTAAACAGAATGAATTTAATAAGCTTGACTGGTTGTCTAACTTCAATGACTTTGATATAAAACTGTTTCAAAAGCTAACAAATAATGTTGTCTTTAATTCAGTCCATGTATGTTGAAAAGTTATCCTACAAAATGTTACCATGATGACATATTTCATAAATGAAATGTTGTCTCTGAAATCTAGCCTCTGATTTGTTCTTAAATATCACTTTGGACCTGCAGTATCAGCTCAAAATAAAAAATTGAATCCTTGGTCCATAAATATAGAGAAACAAAAAAGTTAGCTGAAAATATAAATCTCAATATCTCATAAAAAAAAAAATCTCAATATCTCATAAAAAATTTACTTTGAGTCTTGGCTTTGGTTTCAATAAAAATCCAAGCTTGAAAGCTTGAATCTAATGAAATTACTTTTAGTCCAAAGCAAATGTAACACTTATTTAAAAAAGGTTCTAGAACACACCAAACTAAATAAAGATGATTTATTTATATATATATTTTTTAATTTTAAACTATTTTATGACTGCAAACTATATAACATTCTCCTTTGCCTCAAGTCTATGTAAAATAATAAAGGTTTATTGATAAAGACTTTTTTACAAATGTAATCATGCTGTATCTAATTGATTATAAACTAGTATAAATCATGTTAATAGCTTCTTGTAAAATTAATTTTACAAGATGATGGCTCTTTTTTTAGATTTTTTTATTGTAGAAAAGAATATTTTTTTGTGTAGGTGATGTTTTCAGATTATAGTAGAGAAAAAAATTGTTTTGTCCAGGTGATGTATTCTGATAACCCTGTTGTTGTTTGTTCGAAAACATCTATTGATAAAAAATCCAATGAAAAAATTTGTTTTCCATTCAAAATGAATAAATCTTTCAGAATGTTGACCCAATTTAGGTTAAATTATTCTTGTGTAAAAATGTCACTATTGTAAAGTAGGTTGTTTAAAGTGAAAAGTAGGGTGTTTAGGGTGTTTATAAGTTGTATTTTTAATTAATAAATCATTTTTAGTGGCTCCAATTAAAGCACTATGCAATGAAAGGTATCAAGATTGGAAAGACAAGTTTGGAATATTTGGATTGCGCTGTACTGAACTAACAGGAGACACAGACCTTGATGATTTCCAAGAACTTCAATATTCCAATATTATTTTTACAACACCGGTTATCATCATTGAGTGTTATTTTTAATGTTGAAATAGTAAATATATATGTAAAACATTATGTACACAAACAATTCTTTTAACTTAGCTAAGAATTATTATGTTTGCTAATACAGATCAACTTTTTTACATAGGAAAAATGGGATAATCTGACTAGAAAGTGGAAAGATTACAAGTCTTTGTTTCAGTCAGTTAGATTATTTATGATAGATGAGGTATAAAGCATTTTTACTTGTAATATAACATAAGAAAACAATAATATGCGTCAAGTTATTTAAATTAAATAATTGTCTAAAAACTAAAAAGTGCAGTGGCAGAAGTTTATTATATAATATCATGTCATACAATACATGTTTTTTTTTTATAAGCATATGAAATTTTTGAAACAGGTATGCTTAAGCAAAAAGTTAAAAGAGGCTCAAAAATATGCTTAAAATTAAGCATATTTATAATAAAATATGCTTATTTCAATACTTTCTAAAAATATGTGCGTTACCAAAAGTTAATGGTTATAAGAAAAATAAAAAGTCGACTTTAGTACAGTATAATAAAAAATAAAAAATATATATTATATACAAATGTTATCAATTAAATAATAAAATAAATAAAATTTAAAATAATAAAATATATAAAATTTGATTTTTTAAAATGGTTTATCGAGGCTCAGGAATATGCTTACGTATGCTTATTTTTTTTCCAAATCTGAGCCTCCATATGCTTATAAATGTTATGCTTATAAAAAAAAAACATGTACTTCTTATTAAATATAACCTAAATGATTTTATATCATATCACTAAATAAAACCAAAATGATCTTATATCATTATCTATTATCATTCTAATTAACCAAAATGATTATAGTAATATGATTTGTAAAGTCAAATTACTGCAATATTAATAAAATGTGACAATAAAATTATGTTGGCATTAATAAAAGGTTAATTACAAAGTAATAGATCTAAAAAGTATAAAAAGTCAACATGATAAAAGTTCCTCTTTAAAAAAAGAAAAGACATATTATTGATAAAGTTTATCAATAATATATGTTTATGTATCAATAATATATGTTTCAATTCAAGATGCATCTTCAATATTAATTGGACCTTCACATATGTGAACCTTTTTATAGGGTTCCATAAAATGATGAAAATCAAACTAAACACTTACCGTAGAAATCCCTAATTCCAAACAGTCCCTAATTCTGAACAGTCCCTAATTCCAAACAGTCCCTAATTCCGAGCAGCATTAGTTCTCTTATTGTTGCATCCTTTATTTTTGTGGGGTTTCCAAAAAGAAAACTGATTAATAAAATGTAAGACATAAGTAATGAGAATATGTAAAAATATTTTAAAAATGTATAATAAAACCATGAAATTTTTAAATTGCAAGTAAAACACTTTTTAAAACTCTGAAAAACCAACAAAACAAAACCCACTTAACAAAAAAATTAAAAATTAGCAATAAACAGTACTTTTTTGGATAATATAAAAGTTTCCCAAATTCTGAACAGATTTTAAAATGCGCAAATGTTTGCCTTTTTTCAAGGAAGTAATTAACAAAAATTTTTAACAATAGTATTTTAACGACCTGAAATTTTAAAAGTTTTTAACGTTTTTAATTAATTTCTAAACTTCTTGTAACGTTTGTTAATAAAAAAAATGCCAAAAGTTAAAAATAATAAAGATCGCAAACGAAAAATTAAACTTTGTATTGAAGCTATCAATAATAAAAAAATGTCATATTCAGAAGCTGTTTTATGTTATAACATTCCTAAAACAACTATTTTTTGCAGATTGAAAGGAGTAAATGGAACTGCTGGTGTTGGTGTTGCCAAGAGCAATAAGCCAAGTAACGGAGAGGTTTATAGTTGAACTTGTACAGTTTATGAGTGACATATGCTTCAGCTTAAAAAGAAATGTGCAGCCGTGGCGCAGTAGTAGTACACTTGCCTCAGAAACATAAGATCCGTGGTTCAAACCTCACCTCTGGGCAAGTTTTGCAACATCGGTTGGGAAGGAGGCGTGAACTTCCTACTAAATGCTTTTCTGCGGTGCTCTGTGATAAGACCGTAAGGACTTCTTGGGGCACCTAAAATCAACATTGAAAAAAAATGATATTTTAACTGTGGTTGAAAACTATTTGAAGGAATCTAACCAAATTCATTTGTTCAAGACTGGTAAACCTACTAAAAAGTGTTACAATAGTTTTATGAGAAAATATGCAAAAAACATTTGTTAAAGAAAGGCTACTAGCATGCAAACTGTAAGAGCTGTAAGATTCTATTTTTAGATGGCCATGTATCTCTCATCAATTTTGAGTCGAAAAGATTATTAGAATCTAACAACATTATTTTATTCCGATTGCCAGCTTACACAAGTCAACTTTTTCCAACCACTAGATGTTGAAGTTTTTAAAACAATTAAGGCGGAATGGAAGTGAATTGTAAAAGTTTATTTGGTTTGAATTAAGTTATATAAGTATTTAAGTTTAAGTAACCGGCATTTTCCTGCTATGCTAAAAGACCTTATTGCAAATAAAGGTTTCAAAGCGGAAAATGCGCGTAGTGGTTTTGAAAATACTGGTATATTTCCACTAAATCATTCAAAAATAACTCCGAATAGAACTGCGATTAACGCTAGTTTTTAAGGTGTAACAAATGACAAAATTGAGAGCTATTTTTCTGAAAAGTCTACCCATTTACAAGTTTCACTTCATAAGACTGATAGAATAATTTCAAAAAACTCTATAAATAGACTTTCAATAAAAGTAGTACTGCTCAAAGAATTAGATATCATCAATAATGCCGTTAAACAAGCATCTTTTGATATTAACAAATCTGTGTTCACTGTGCTTAGAGATAGATTGGTGCCTCTTTCCAGTAGTAAAGACAAGGGAACAATAATTAAAAGAACAACATGTTACAACATGACTGAACTATCAGCAATGGCTCAGAATGAAGCTACACAAGCTCCAAAAAAAAAAAACTTGATGAAAAAGAAGCCAGAAAAAATATTAGAGAAAAAAAAAATTTGATGCAGCAATTCTCAAAGAACAAAAGTTAAAAAAAAGAGAAGCTTTTAAAACTTAAGAAACCCCAAAAATGGTCTCAGAAATGTAAAGAAACAACAAAGATGTCTACTAGTCCAAACATTGAGTGTCTTCCTGTCACGAGCTGTAATACCTACCAAATCAATTGTCATTGTTATTCCTGCGGAATCCTTTAGGATGAAGCTACAAGCACCAAATGGGTTGCATGTGAAAAGTGTTTAAACTGATCGTGTATTTCTTGTATTGTCAATTATCACGAATCAATTAATTCGCATGCAAGGAGTGTGAATAACTTTTATTAGTTTAAATTTTTGTAGCTTGATGCTTTAAAAAATTTTTTTTTTGGGTACTGCAACTTTTTCATTAAAATAAAAAAAAAATCAATTTTTTTCAGTACAGCTATGGTTGCCACCTCAAAATGATTGCTATTGCTGCGATATTATTTATGGCTTTTTAACTGATTACAAAAAAATAATGACAGGTGTTGCATCTCTCACGTGGAGAATTCTAATATGCTCACAAACCTATTTATTTGTCTCTCCTATTCTTGTTTAAATAGATTTTAAAAAAAGCACGGCGTGCCTTGTAACTCTATAGATAATAAAAGCTATGAAGTTTTTATTATCTATAGAGTTATTATTTATAATCATAGGGAACCAACAACATGATCTAATAAATATATAATGCATACTCTGTACCAATGATGTTATACCCTTACATTAAAATATAAAATTAGTTTAATTTTTAAAATCTTGTAACTAAACTCTAAGCTAGAGGTCTATGCATGAATAAATTATTTACAATTAAATGCCATTTTTTGGGATTTGATATGTGCGTTTAAAATTAGGAACACTTGTCACTAATTCGGAACAAAAAATTTCTCTCTTTAAAATTGTAAAATAAAAACATTTTCCTTATAAATATATTTGTTGCTTGACATGGTTAGATTCAGTTTAGGTTCCAGTTTATTTATTTAAAAAAATTATGTTGAAATTCAAAAAACATGCAGAGTTATTCATCTTTAGGTGCAATTTTGTTCGGAATTAGGGATTTTTACGGTAAATAGCAAAATTGTTTCAGTAAAAATTAGTTTCAGTAATTTTTCAGAAATCCAGTTGTTGTGCAAACATGAACTGCACCAAACAAAAGAAACTAATCATGTTGATTACCATTAAATGAATAAATGGCCTTTCAGTCATTAGTTCTATTAAGTTTTGAAGTATAGTTGATTGATTTTATGATGCTAAAACAATTGCATCAACTGTAACAGCAGATCCTTTTAAAAAATAAATCTATCTATATATATATATATATATATTTATATATATATATATATATATATATATATATATATATATATATATATATATATATATATATATATATATATATATATATATATATACATATATATATATATATATATATATATATATATATATATATATATATATATATATATACACATATATATATATATATATATATATATATATATATATATATATATATATATATATATATATATATATATATATATATATATATATATATATATATATATATATATATATATATATATATCAGACCTTGTTTTAAAGCGTTAAGCTGTCCACAATTTATGTATGTCTTACGTACACCTAGAGAAATTTCCATTAAGCTATTATTTATCTTTTTTTAACTATTAAATTATTCTATAAGAGGTAAGATCAAAGAAGTAATTAACTTTGTAAAAAATCACATCAACTTTTGAATGATAATGTAAAAAAGTTTGTTAAAAAAGTTTGAATGACAGTTATATTAGATAATAGCGCTATTTACTAATGAAAAAAACTCAAATATGATTAAAAACTACAAAAGCCTTATCTCTATTAAGCTATTTATTTTATACAAATATTTAGTAACAGAAAACAAGTTTGTTTATAGTTAGTGACAATTTTTTTAATATACAGAGTTATTAAATAGAACATAAAAAAAATCATAAAAAAATTTATTCATTATAGATAAACTATTGTTTATCATATTGCAAGTACAAGAATATTTATGCAACTTCTGATTGCAATAAAAAAAAATTTACTTAATTTCTATTTAGTAATAAATAATTTATAATACGCTAATATTTTGAGCCTAAAGCAAAGATTCCTATAATATAATTTAATTCTGATTAAAAATACATGGTTTAATTTAAAACAAATTTGATAAAAATATATAATTTTATTCTGATAATAAAAATATTTAATTTTGATTTGAAAAATATATACAGTAAAACACCCTAATTAAGGATGTAACCTTATTCCGAATGGTTTTAGTAAAAAGTTTTATAACTCGCTTACTATAACGAATTTATGTAATATTTTTTTTGGTTAAAAAGTGTCTTTACCAGACAAATCGAACAATATAAAAACAAAATTATATAAAATAATGCGATCATGAAAGATTTCAATATGAATTCTAACATAATTAAATCATCAAAAAAGCAAAAAAAAAAAAAAAAAATACAAGTTTACAATGAAAAAATTTAAAAAGTAAAAACACTATTTTGTGCAGAATTTTAAATTACCATTTGAATTAATTGAAAAAAATTTTAAAATAAAAGTAGCTACTAGCAAAAAAAAAACCTTAAGAAAAAAATAATTAGAATTTTATGAAGTAATTTTTATTTAGAAGTAATTATTATTTTATGTGCCAGAAAAAAAAAATTAGCCACCAGCAATAAAAAAATTGACACTTAAATCCTGATACAGGTATTTATTATTTAATGTGCATAAAGTTAATGCATAGGTTTTACTGTATTATAGAATATGGATATATTTAAACAAAAGAGCAAGAGAATCAAATCCAGCTAGCTATTCCAGCTATTACTGAAAAAAAAAGTCATGTACATGCTGCTAAATGTTATGTGGTGAAATCTTTATTTATATCTAAAATTTTATATCTTTTCCCACTTGTTGAACATCATTATTCAAAGAAGCAAAGCTTTTAATCAAAAATTCACGATTTGACATTTTTGACGTAATGTTAGGTGTATTGGTAGCATTTCCCAAAACTAATGGACTAGATACTGTTTCAATCAAATAAATAAGCTCTTTTTGACAGAACAAAAGGGTCATCTAATGACCAAGGAGTGTCAAAAAAGAAGAGCAGCATCACTGAAGGTATGATTGTTGATTTATTAAAGTTTATGAGTGATATAGACTTTAGCTTAAATAGAAAAGATGATGTAGAAAAGAAAAAAAAAAAAAAATGAAAAAAATGTTAGTGAGCTAAAACACCAGGTAAAAAAGGTCAAAATACAAAGAATCAATCAGAAGACTAACATTTACCATAAGCTTCAAATGGCATTTTAGTACCTGATGATCATTAAAGTCCATGGGCGAATAGTTAAGATAACCAATGGCTTGCATGTGAGCAGTGTTCTAATTAGTCATGCATTTCATGTATCGTTGATTATCATCCAACTATGGATTTTATTTGTAACCAATGTGAATAAAATAATATATTTTCTTTTTAATTAAACAATTTCATTTTTTTAATGGATTAAATTAATTATTTTAATGTTAGTATTAATTGTGTTTGCGTTTCTCTATATTTTATATGCGTCCAGAATTAGGGACATAGACACCTAGTTCAGGATAAAAATAATGCCTTTTAAAAATAAAATAAAATAAAGATTTAAATTACAAAAATATTGATCTATTTGCCTTGTTATGAAGTTTATTTTTTTTAAAAATTATTCTGAAATCTTTTATAATGATCGAGTTATGATGATTTAAGTTGAAAACCATCCGGAATTAGGGGTTTTTACAGTATATATATATATATATATATATATATATATATATATATATATATATATATATATATATATATATATTAGTTCTAATTTAAATAAATGTTTATGTTTATTAAAATTTAAGTTAATGCATGGGTTTAACTGTCAAATTTATTTAAAAATATTACTAAATATTGTTCAATATTTAAATTTTATTCATTCTTAAAAAAAAATTAGCTTATTTTTATATGTATGTATGTATGTATATATATATATATATATATATATATATATATATATATATATATATATATATATATATATATACACGTTTTAATAATTCAACAACATGTGTGTACTCCAAAAAAGAATTAGTATTACTTAGTATATTATATTTCATAAGATTATTTGCTATAAAACTTTTAACTAATGAAACTAAGTTTTAATACTAATTTGTTGCTATTTGGAATTCAGGTGTATTTATTTTAAGTTTTAAATTATTTTTCAGGTACACTTGCTTAATGATAATGCGCGAGGTGCAACCATGGAAGCTGTTGTCAGCCGTATGAAAACTGTTCAAGTTGCCATCAATAATGAAAAAAATAAAACTGACAACCAAGATATGAGATTTATTGCAGTGTCAGCAACAATTCCTAATGTTGATGATGTAAATTTGAAAAATTTTTTGCTTTGTTTTATTTCACAATTAATCAACCTTTTTTTTGTAAAAAATAAAATAATTACTTTATGTAATATACTATTTTACATAAGTTTTTTTATGTCATAATTAACAAGTTGTTCCATTTTTACATTTTAAATTTAATCAACATTCAAATTTTTTAATTCTGACAAATATTATTTTCAAAAGAAGGACCTTTGTTGTTGATATTACCGCCATGTTTTTCCACCAGCTGCTAAATTCATTTGCACTCTTCACCATCTTGTCAAGAATCTTTATATATCTTGCCATTATTTAAATCTCTCTCCTTGCTGTGTCATTTGCATAGATAAGATTTCTGATAAAAAGGATTCATTTTTAATTAGGATTCATTGTTTTTCCATATATTTGATGTAAGAGAAAACCAAGATTTATAGCAGCTTTGAAATTGTCCAAGATACAATAGAATAAAAAAGAATCCAAATTTTATTGATTGTTTGAAAGTGATTTAAAATCATCTTACAAATTCTGTCTACCTACCTCAGGATATCTTGTAATGTATTGCTTACACAGCAACTAAAGATGGTTTAACTTCACATACATCAACATTTAGTGGTTCATCATTCATAGCAGCAGAAAACACTGTATTCATGGGCGCAAATGAAATCAGTAACCAAGTGTCTTCAAGATCTATTTGACATCTGTAAAAAGAAAGAGAACCTTCAGCCTAGATTTATTTTGTCTAACAAAACATAAGATAATAAAATTAATTATTTTATGCTTAATTGTTTTTTTCCTTTTAATTAAGCTGAATACTACACAAAATTTTTGCATCAGCCATATTTATGAATATGGCTGTTAATTGCCGAAAGGCATGAAACTTCAAGTTTTTCATTTTTCCGAATAATCTAACACTATATAATTTTGTAAGCAAAAAATTCTGGAAGGTGGCCATGTAGAATGTGTAAGAAAGGAGATGGTATTGTAATATTAGATGAGCTTGTGGAATGTACAAGTGTACAGAAAAAATGTAAAACACTCTCTATATTTTTGTACAAAAATACAGTGAGTGTTATGATGTTTGGATGTGAAGCATAAAGATCATTGGCTAAAAGATAATTATTAGCAATTTCTAAAGAAAATATCCAACTTGTAGGTAAAAACTAGATTCTTAATCATTGATAGTGATGATGATGGTGATTCATTAAATTTAATGTTTTATATTTATTTAAATATATTTATAACAGTTATATTTAACTAAAAGTGTTTTTTAGATTGCTGCTTGGTTAGACACTGGATTTCTTCCTGCTTTTGGAGTTAGGTTGGTGTTTTATGTCATTTTTATATTTCTAGTTGCTGCCACAGGATTTCATGAATTATATTTTTAATTATAAATTTTTTAGTCTTGGCAATGAGTATAGACCTGTACAGTTAAAGAAAGTTGTTTTAGGTTATGAACCTGAGAAAAAATCAGATTTTATGTTTGATCTGACTCTTAGTTACAAGTTAAGTGGCGTAATACGAACACACTCTGACAATAAGCCAACATTAATTGTAAGTTTTATGTTTTGATAAGAACTTAATATAAAATGATTTGTTTAAGTTGTACATTGCTAGAAATCAATGTGTTAAATTAGAATTTTGACACCAATTGAAATCAATGTAATGGACCAAAATCAAACCTGTTATAAGTATTCATAATTTGTTTCATTTTAATATAAGTCTTAATATTTGTTGTATAGTATATCAATCTACACTTTTTATATTAGGAAGGCAACCCATGACAAAAAATTGATCTTTTATTCGCTTAAAAGTTCTAATATTTGTTGTATAGTATATCTATCTACACTTTTCATATTAGGAAGACAACCCATGACAAAAAATTGAACTTTTATTCACTTAAAATTTCTAATATTTGTTGTATAGTATATCTATCTACACTTTTTATATTAGGAAGACAAGCCATGACAAAAAATTGATCTTTTATTCACTTATGAAATTTGAGATCTATCAAAGTTTTAATAGGTTTTCTATTGAAACTATTAATTTTTATAAAAAGTTCTATAAATTGTCTTTTTTGCTTTTCTATAATAAAGAGAAAAAAAGCTGGTAGAAAAAGTAACTTGATTGCATTTCTTATTGAAGATAATAGTTTTTCTGTTACAATTGTAATAAAGTATGTTTCAAATAGAGTTTCAAAAAGCATATAGAAAATCAAAATAATGTTTTCTCCTGGAAAGAAATTTAATGTTTATTTATTTTGTATTAATTTTATTCATTACAGATTAGGTATTTCATATTAAATAAGTATGCCAGGGCAATTAGTACAGTTTGTTAGTTACATTTTTGTGCAAGCATTTTTGCATATACACTATAGCACAGAAAGCTGTTATAAATATATATTAGAAAATATTTTTTTGTTCTTTTTATTTATTTTGCTATGAATATATGAATTAAATAAATTAGCTGTTCAGATCTGTAAAATACTTGTCTTGGTCTATTCTACACCGATCATTCTTATACTTATTCTTTATTTCAGTAATTTTTAGTAAGCAGTTGAAAAACTATACATATTATATCTACTTTTTATTTTTATGAATAAAACAAAAATTTATAACATAGTTAACTTTAAAAAATTAAAAACCTTTCAGTATTCATTGCGTGAACCGCTGCCAGCAGTTTGGATATTAGTGCCTGAAGTGGGTAATTTAAATAATATTTATAATACCCACTTGAAATGTGTTGATTAATTACAATATATAAAAAGTTTTAAAAACATTCAGTATAAGACGTAAAAATATAGTAAGTGGTAAAAAATAAAAATTTGTCAAATCTTTGTTTTGAGTTAACAAATAATGTTCAATACTTTATAACTTCTTATTGTAAAATTGTAAACTTCTGTAAAAGTAAACCGGGTACATACTTTTTACTAAATTTTTTTCTTTATTAAGTTTCTATTAAGTTTTTATTAAATTTTTATCCAGATCATCTGCAGCTTATTAGGATCCTCCCCCTGTTAATTAATTTTGGAAAGTTAAAAATTAAATGTAAAATCTTTTTTTATATAAGTAAAAAAGTTGTCTCTTAAAATTGTGTTAAACGCTCAGACAAGTAATTATCTAAGCACATAATTAACTTAAGTATCTCTATTGTGACATAAATGCAAAAAATATTCACTGCTGTTTTGATGTTTATTGGAATTTTAAGCTTTTTTAAAAACTCTTCCTTTTATTTGTTATAGTATATAATATCTTTATGTTTGTTATAGTATATAATATCTTTATATATGTTTGTTATAGTATATAATATCTTTATATATGTCAATAACATTAACAGAAACTTTTAAATTAATAATTTTGTCTTTTAAAAAACTAAAAAAAAAAAAGTAATGTGCAAGTGATAGGACCCTAGTAATATACTTCAGCAAGCTAACCACTTTATTCACAAAGACACACTAATCTGCGAATTTGTAACACCATTTAATAAACAAAAGACGAAGTAACTTTATATCAAATAAATGCTATAAATCAAAATTAAGGAGATTTATTTTTATTGATTTTTTGCAGCAATTCAATTTTTAAATAAATGTAAAAATATCTATAGAACTTTAAAAATGTTTTAATTTCTATTTTAAAAAATCTAAAAATGTTAATAAAAAAAAAAAAGATGGTGCAAGGATTTGAACCACAGGATTTCACTTCAGAATGCTGCAAGCAATACACTTAAGCCACTAAGGCATATTGTTTGATGTTTAAGCAAAATTTCATTAATAAAAGACTTTATAAAATGGTAAATAAATGCTATAAATCAAAATTAAGGAGATGCTGCCGCAATACAATTTTAAAGTAAAGATAAAACTGTAAAACTTGATGTTTTAACTTTATGTAAAACTTGATGTTTCAACTTTAAATAATTTGATGTTTCAATAAGTTAGATAGTTGCATACACTTTTGTTCATGTTTTCTTATACAAAAAAAAAACACTTTTGTTCATGTTTTCTTATACAAAAAAAAAACACTTTTGTTCATGTTTTCTTATACAAAAAAAAAACACTTTTGTTCATGTTTTCTTATACAAGAAGTGCTCAGACTCTTTCCTGACATTAACTCAGTTGTTATGGCTGCAGCAGTTGTTATGGCTGCTGTGAGTTTTGTGCAAACACACACAAATGAGTAACAGCAGCAGGAGCAGCAATATTAAATTCAATATTAAAGTATTATAGAATTATTTTTTACCACAACAACATATTCCTATATTTAATTTATGATTTAAATATCAAGTTGTAATCAAATGATATAACTATATAATAAATATTTAAATATACTTAACTATAATATAAGTACATAAATGTATGTTATGTACTTATATTATAGTTATGTATAATACATAAAAATTATATTTATTATTTATTTTTTTGTTACATTTTATTTAATTATCTTATGTTAAGTTTTGTTCCACTCGCAAAAGCGTGGTGCAAGCCGCTGGAATTCTTGTTAAAGATCAAAAAATTTTTATAGATTCTCGACAAAGACAAAGGTTTTTTTTTTTTTTTTTCCTCTAATCAAAAATAACTTTATTGGTAAACATCTTGTTATTTTAAGACTTTTTTGTTTCATCATTGATCAAACTTATTATTTTTTGTCTAAATAAAGTTGAAACTTGAAATTAGCAATATTTATTAAATTATTTCAAATATTAAAACTTATTTAAAATTTTTTTTATTTAATTAATTTAGGCTGTTTAGTTATGCTAATAGTATCCATGATTCCAAATTACAAGGTATTTTTTTCATTATTTTTACATTAACAAAATAAACCTTATTATTTTAATTTTAATACTAATTTAGTTGTTTGATTATGAAATTTTTTAAACTATAGATTGTGTTAAACATGGTTGTGGTTATCATCATGCTGGTTTAAACATAAATGATCGAAAGCGTATTGAAGAAATATTTTCTACTGGGGATCTTCCAGTACTGGGTATGATATATATATATATATATATGTATATATATATATATATATATATATATATATATATATATATATATATATATGTATATAATATATGTATATAATATATAATAATAATAATAATAATAATAGTAATAATAATAATAATAATAATAATAATAATAATAAGGATAATAATAATTATGATAAGCTGCGGCAAGAAAATATAAAATGAGGACTAAACTAATAGTACGAAATTTAGCACAAAGTAAAGGTGACTTTTTTTTTCTCTCTCTTGCTTGAAAGGGGAAGCAATACTTTAGCTCCTTGTCAGTAGATGATGAACTCTAGCAGCATTTTAGTGGATAATTATAATGCTGGTGCTGACTAAAGCATATGTTTTTTAAACTCATTTAGATGATGAGAGTCAATCTCAGTTTATGGAAGTAAATTCACTGGCTGACTACTCTGTTAGAGAAGGGAAGAAAAAAAAGAAAAAGTCTAGTAGAGACAGCTTGCATGTTATTGCTGAGGTCAGATGCATTAAAAAACTCTTTAAAGAGATGCTGAGAGTATCCTCGAGTTATTATATCATATGGATAGCCAATGTGTGGGTTAAGCCAACAAATATCTAAATTATTAATTAACTTGAAGTTTTAGATTAAATCACATCGATTGCATCTTTTATTTAGTAAGGTGAGATGAAGATGTGATATGACTTCGCGTAATAAGGCTCTAATAGATGTAATTTCTTTGGTAGCACGGTTTTAAACTTTTCCAATTTTTTTAATGTTGTGTGCAGAAAGAGAATTCCATACAGGAGCAGCATACTCAAGATGAGGTCTGACCAACAATGTATAAAGTTCCAGATTTGTACATTTTTGTAGATAAAAGCTTTCTTTAGTTGATCGAGGACATAGTTAGCTTTTGATGGTATTATTTTGACATGCATGTCCCATTTGAGGTTGTGTGAAATGCAAATACCAAGATCAAAAAGCTTCTTGATTCCTATTTTGTTGTAAGAGGAATCAAGAAGCTGCATCTCTTGTCATTCTCCTGGAAAGTGAAATTTTCAATAGTTAATTTTATAAAATTTAAATATTAAATTTTCCAAATCAAATTTTTTGCTGTTATAGCTTTGAGTATACCTTATCATTTGTAAGTATCTGCACAACTCGTTAAATGTTAGTTTACAAAAAAAAAATTTTAGCGTAATCCACAGACATGACAAATTTACCACAGACTTGACATTAGGAATAGTATCGCTTTATGCTGTAACATGTAAGCGTCTGTCAGGTAATTTACGAAAATAATCATCATCTTTAATCAATAGTTTTTAATAGATATAAAATAGTACATGGTAAAAGTTTTACAAATTTCAAGTAATATTAGTAAGAAAATCAGCAAATGTTTTTGAATGGTAAGTCTTGTGGAAAACTATATTGCCCCCTGTTGTTGAGGTTCGGCTGGTACAACCTAAACACTACATCTCTCTTATCAATGACAGAGATGTGATCTTTCTCTTAAAGTGTAAAAAACTCCTGGCCAGATCTTCTCAAAAACTTTATGATAAACTGATTTTTATCTGCACCTAAGGCTTTAGGCCACCATAGTCTTTCACACTTTTTTTTTGATGTTTGTAACTTCACAATCACAAAATTATTGATTTTAATAGATGAGCTTTCCTCTTCACTATTGCTGTAAACACTGTGGTAACTTAGTCTTGTCAACTTCTTTTCATATTTACCCAGCCTTTGGGATTCTTGAGCCAAACCTTTAAATGTTGTTTCTTCAGCTGGTGTTTTCTTCATTTTCAAGAATGGTTGACCTGCTAAACTATGTTAAGCAATTTCTTAAAACAGAGGCAAAAAAAAGTTATTTATAAAACAGAAACAAATTAAATAACTATTTTACAATAAAGATTTCATACACAACTTATTTTAATATTTATTGAAAATATTTGGGTTTCTGAAAAACTAAATAAAAATTAAACATTCTTACTGACTAAAAAACATTTAAGAAATGCAAAAGTTTGCCATATTCAATATAAGCAAACTTTCTAAATGCTATACATTAAAAGGATACGAAGATAAAGATCCGTCAAAAACCCCACAGGGATTAGTACTTCTCCAATATTATAGTGATAGCATTTTGTATCATTGTCACATTCAGTGCATGTCAGCTTTCTCATATACAATATTTTTTTTTAGTGGAATTCCACAACACCTCATGAACTTGTAAAGAACTTGTGAAGTATTATTATTATTAAGAAAATGTTTCAATGATAGCTTTCAAGTCATTAATAACAGGGTTTAAATGCGCACAGATCCCAATAAAGTTGAGACACCTGTTATCTAAAAATGTACAGTAAGATTTTGCCTTGATTTTGTTAGTACTACAATAGTTTGATACAACTGAATGGATTGACACTTGCTTTCTTGATCAACCAAAGTAGAGTGATTGGATTTCTTTTGAGTATTTGTAATAGTAATTTTTTGAAAAATCGCAATGAATGAAAATATCCCTAGGCCATAACTTATTTTTTATTTCTGATGTAGCTTTGTACTGGTGTTTTATATTGCATACATGCCTCATAAACTTTTCCAGTAAGTTATTAATAAAAAGCAAAAACAACTTTTTTAGTTAATGATAACTCTTCTTTTACAGTTTTAAAATGTCTTTATTTTACTACAAGTTCAATACTTTTTTTAGACCATTGTGGAAATGTTACTTTTTCATTTTAAGTTTTTGTATGTTAAGATATATCTAGAAGTAAGATAGTTGAGGCTATTTTGAATTCTGTACTTCTTTGTTTTCTTTTCGCTTAATACCCTGGCAAAATCCTTTTTTTTTTCAATACAACTCGCAGTAGAAAAATTTGATTGTATTTGTCTTTGACACTTTGCTAAGAAGCAAGCTTTTCTTTACTTCCTTCAAGAATTTCGTACCACTGGTAATTTTTTTAGCCATCTTTTGAGAAGTATTATCTCTTAAGATATTACTTCTCAAAAGCATATCACAGTCTGTAGAATTTTTGTTTGTATTTATCACCTATTTGCTTTAACAAATTGTTTTTTTCTTCTAATTTTTGGATTTTTTTCTTCAACCTATCTCTATATTTTCTACGAACTTTTAGCCTGCTTCTTTTTCTGGAACTAGATTCCTGACTGGGACCAGAAAGTACATTGATGCTTATTTCATTGTTAATAGGAATATTTACAGTTGCACTTTCAGGTGTAGACAAATTTTCAATAAGTTGCTGTCTCTTCCTTTTCATTTCCCAACTTCTATTGGTTCTTTCCTTCCAACCTTTTCTTAATGATTTTTTATCCTTTTCTGAAAGTTCATGAATTTTCTTTCGTGTTACTTTTTTTCTTTCTCTATCTTTCCATTTTTGTTCTTCATACTTTTCTGGGTTTTCATCTTTCATCTTCTCCCTTGCCTTCCTCAGTTTGCCTCAGTGTTTTAGTCAGATAGAACTGAATGACTTAGTTTGTGATTTAGGACTTTCTAAACAAGCAACATAAGTATTAGCATCACGTTTAAAAGAAAAAAACCTACTTGATAACTTTGCAAAAGTATCTTATTTTAGAACAAGAGATGAAACTTTTGCTGACTTTTTTTCATCAATTTATTTGTTTACTGTCATGATATTTCAGGTCTCCTACTACAGTTGGGTATTTCTGTATATAATCCAGCAGAATAGAGACTTTTTATCAATAGCTCAAAGCGAAGTCTCAAATGCGTTATATTGCGCAATGGAGATATTTTTGGTTCTGTACCAATTGGTCATTTGCGAGAAACTTACGATGACATTAAAATAGTGCTTAACTTGATTAAATATCATGAACACAACTGGGTTATTTGTGTAGATCTAAAAATGGTTAACTTTCTACTTGGTCTGCAGAAAGGTTTTACAAAATTTCCATGTTATCTCTGTATGTGGGACAGTCGAGCAAGAAATCAACACTGGATACAAAAAGAATGGCCCATTCGCAAGACTCTCACAGTGGGCATGCAAGATATTGTGAATGAACCAATTGTTAGTCAAAACAAAATAGTTTTTCCACCACTCCATCTTAAACTTGGATTCATGAAACAATTTGTTAAAGCGCTAAAAACTGATAGTGATTGTTTTCAATATATAATTAAATCATTACCAGGATTGTCAATAGAGAAAAAAAAAGCAGGAGTTTTTAACGGGCCACAAATTCGCTATATTATAAAAGATAAAAAATTCATTAAAACAATGAATATGAAAGAGAAAACAGCTTGGTTATCGTTTGTGATTGTTATAAAAAATTTTCTTGGAAATAAAAAGCAGAAAACTATGCAGATTTAGTTGATAAAATGTTGAATGCCTTTTGTGATCTTGGATGCAAAATGAGTATAAAGCTTCATTATATAAATAATCATCTTGACCAATTTCCTGAAAATCTTGGAGATATGAGTGAAGAGCAAGGAGAGCGATTCCATCAAGATCTTAAAACAATCGAAGATCGTTACCAAGGACGTTGGGACATACACATGATGGCAGACTACTGCTGGGGCATCAAGCGAGAAGACACAGGAAAAGTTTATAAACAAAAGAGCAGCAAGCAAAAGTTTCTTCCTGATTAAGTAGTTGTAAATAAGCAACATAATCTGCAATCTTTTTTAAAACAAAGTAAAAAAGATTTTGATCTTTCACTAAAGTAAAAGATTTTGTTATTAATCAATAAAAAGTTAATAACTTTGCTAGGACTTGGATATTTGAAAAATATTTATTTTAATCAGTTTACATTTAGTTTTATTTGCTTTCTGTTTTTGTTTTAGTTTTGTAAATAACTTTTATTCTAAAAAGTATATCCTAGCATTTCCAAATGAGTTTTAAATCTGTATTTTAGAACTATTTCTACTGTTTTGCAAAATTAAAAGAATATAAATTACAAAAAATCTGTAGCTTTCCATAAAAAATGAATGCCAGTTTTGAATTCAGCGTATCAAATTATGTAAGAACAAGTGTCAAATTTAATGCAATAAATTTT